TATAGGCATGTGCTGTGATACTAAGTTAGTGAATTGACTTATAGCCTTTAAAATATTTAATTATGTAATGAATAAATAAAAGAAGCAAAAAATCTTGATCAGAGTTACTAATTATCCCTGGGAGGGAAATGCGGCCTCTGGGATAATTTCATGTGAAACACAGCTTCTTTGAGTTAATATGAAGAGCTTTAAAATCAAATCTCATGCTGGTTTAGTTTATTAAACTGTGAAATAATGCATACTGTGTGTGTTTGTGCTCCAGTCACTAAACCACAACTTTACACATTAGGAGGCGGTTCTTTGATTTGCAGCTTTTTTTTTTTTAACATGTTACGGAGCAATACAAGTGTATTGGTGTGTGTTGTACCATTTGGTACAAGATTTTCAGTGTGCTGATGTCGCGCTGCTGTCTCCTGGGGACACTGGCAGAGCTGCAGTATGCCTAAAACCCTCTGTATCCTTTATATCTGCCAGGGTAGTTGAGCATCTACAACATTTTTAGCCTAGCAACTGTTTCAGCAAGAGAAGGGCTCTGCTATTTGTCTTTCCTTCCATACCTGTCGGCCACCAGAAAGTTACTGGGAAGAAAAAGGTTATTTTTGAGGCAAAATAGCATTGTTAAAGTTTTGGCAGAAATTAGTAGTCCGGGCAGAGCCACAGAAGCATTTGCTGTAGGGTTATAGACCTCCCAACATGCTCGAACCTTACCTGGAGAAGACTAGCTGTAGACAGCACACGAGGCAGTTGCTGGTAGCAAGCCGTCCTTCTCTTCCTTTTTTCTGTCTATTTCTCCTTCTTTTCCTACCTCCTTTTATTGGTTTTTCTTTTTCTGCCTAAATCTTAGCCTTTCTATTAATATTTAAAGACATCATTTAAACCTACTGGTAAAATTATGACAGTTTAACTGTGATTTATACTACGTGCTCAAAACTAGTAACCTTCCACCCTCACACCCCCAAAAAACAAAATGACTACATTGTTACCAGCAATGGCTTTACAACAATTTAATAAGTCATTATTAAATACACTCTTTCAGGAGAAAATATCTGAAATAAACAATTACTACTTAAGTAATTTTTTAAAATGTTTTAATTTTAGTTTTTAGAAGCAGGGTCTCACTCTGTTGCCCAGGCTGGAGTGCAGTGGTGTGATCACAGCTCACTGTAACATCCAACTCCTGGGCTGAAGCGATCCTCCTGCCTCAGCCTCCCAAGCAGCAGGGACTACAGGTGCACACCACCGTGCCCAGCTTAATTTCTTGTTTTTTTGTAGAGAGGGGGTCTCGCTATGTTTATGTTGCTCAGGCAGGTCTGGAACTCCTGGCCTCAAAACAGTACTCCCACCCTGGCCTCCCAAAGTGCTGGGATTACAGGCATGAGCCACCACGCCCAGCCTCCTCAAGTAATTTTGAAATGTTTCTTTGAATGATCAATGATCACAATCTTTGTCTGAATTGTAGGTGAAGTTAAAATGAACTATTTGGGCAAACCCTATGTAGCCATGGTCACGACATACCAAATGGCAGTCCTTCTCGCCTTTAACAACAGCGAAATTGTCAGCTATAAAGAGCTTCAAGACAGCACTCAGATGAATGAAAAGGAACTGACAAAAACAATCAAATCATTGCTTGATGTGAAAATGATTAACCATGATTCAGAAAAGGTATGTGCTAATATTCCAAGGAATTTAGGCATTATCAACATTAAGGCTTTTTCATGGGATATTAGCAGTTTTCAAAGTAAGGCTGTAATGTCAGTACCCTTTGTGCTCTGGAAAACATTTCAGTCAGCTACATTACTGCAAGCTCCTTGCAGCCATCAGCTTGAGGCATCACAGAGAATGCTACATAAGTTGGTGCCTGTGTGCTCCTTACGGTTTGATTTTACTTGTCCTGTACTGTGACAGCTTACTGAAACATTGTAAAAGAATTTCATCTGGAAGATTCTGGTTAATTGAGGTTTTTAAACTGTAGCCTATCATAAATCTTTCTGGGTTTTTTTTTCCCCATATGTTTAGTTCATTTAATTTCATGGTTCTGTAATAGGAGGTGGCAGCCTGTTGAAGTCTATTTGCACTCGTATTTAACATGAGTGACTCCATTCCAAGTGCTCTCAGGCACCTTGATGTCCGGACTCAATTCGTAACCATGTATTTTCAATATCCATCACAGGAATAACAAACCAATAGTGTATTGCTGCTTTTTCTTTACAACTTTTTTTCCTAGTAACAAGTTTTTACTGTTTTGTTGTTATAATACAGCCTAGATGTGTAAATGGTTAAAAAAGCAACAGATGTGAGTTAAATCTCCTGCTTCAAATTATTGTGCTTATAAGAAAAAAAACTCTTGTCAATAATGTTTCCTTTTTACTTTGGCGAAGTTAAGA